AATTTTTTTTTTTTTTTTTTTGGTCAAAAACCGGACTTTTGTTAATCCCCTTGTACGTATGCACATCTAACGATCCTTATTACTTCCACTTCGACTCGTACATACATATACATATATGTAAGTATGATAATTAATGTTATTAGCGCATTGTTATGCGGTTTGTGGCCAACAAAGTTGTATCGATTGCCATGCGTGAGGCATTAACAACACCAACAATAACAAAAATAACAACAACAAGCGAACAATGACTAGAATCACAATTGAGTTTCGATGCAGGCGCGATTGCACAATGGTTCAGGTGACCATACTTTGTGACCAAAATTACAAATTAGTTAATATTTTCAGCTGAAGTTTTTTACAGATTTTTTTTTTTTAATATGACAATTCATCAATCTCGCTTCTCTTATACCTTTGTAAACATGAAATAGTATATTACTTTTGGTCTGAAGTATGTAAGTACAAGATGGAGGAGAGATAGGTCCATCAAAATACAAACGGAGAGAATTATTCCAAACAAACTTGGTACACAAATTCTCCGGTACTTTGAAACGATCATTTATTAGAGCCGGGCAGATCAGCCCACTACAGCATATATACGACCCAGTTTTCAGATTTAAGATTTTATATTAACTGTCTAAATCGGATGACGAGTATAACATAAAACTCTACTCCGATTTTTTCCGAACAGACCTTTTGGTAAAAACTTCGTTAAAAAAGCATCCGAGAATATGAAATTTGATTTCTATACAAGAATTAACATTGGCACTAAAACAACCGATTTGTTTAGATTTGATATTTTTGTTAAAAAATTCGTAAAAAATGTATTAATATACTTGACCCCGACACTTGCTGATCTAACCCCTATTTTCATGCTTGGGATAACATTTGTATTTGTGGGTATGCCAAATTTTTGGTTTTACCTGGTTTACTTACTGGAGAGAAAAATAGCTCGACTAACTGACTAGGCGAGTTACCAGTCCACTTCCCGGAGAGAAAAGTAGTTCGGCTCTTTGTAATTGGTCGGTTTCTGGTCCACTTTCCGGAGATTAGTGTAGTCTTCGTATTAATCTAAGCAAAATGCCACCTATGTACCGAATTCTAAATAAACCGACCAATAAATAATTTGTTTTTGAATAGGTCAGTCTGTGGTCCACTTCCCGGAGAGAAGATTAGTTTTCCTGTTAACCTAAGCAAAAACTCACCTAAGTACATATATACCGAGTTTCAAGTAAATCCAGCCATAAAAAAACTTTTTTTGAATATGTTCGCGGTCACGAAATTTCCCAGAAACAATAAAAACGATCTGACGAAATTTTAAGTCAATAACTTTTTTAGATTTTTGGAGATTACTGTATCCTTCCAAGGGAACAATCGATTTGTTATATGTAAGATGTATGATATGTCTCTGTATATTGGAAGACACAGCAGAACACAGAAAGTCTGTTTTAATAAAAAAATTTATCGTTAAAGTAAAAGAGTCACCTTTGTAAAGTATAATTAAATTGTAAATTCTTAAAATGTTTGTAATTAGCTAAGCTTATATTATGAAATTCTTCAAAGTAACATCCTTTTAGAACCTTTCCTTTTGGCTTTGTGGGATCACAAATTTGAGGTTATGATCTAAAAAATTAAGTTACACCAAAAGTGAGGAAAAGGGATGTTTAAAATTACATAAAAATTAACGAGAATTAAATTTGCTGCCACAGACGATATCTTTTATCAGTGGATTCGGTTGAGCACATAATTTGTTTCATCTCAAAAATTAGTTTTCACATTATAAGTACTGTTCCGCGAGCTGACGGGCAGTAGCAACTGTTATCAATTTCTACTGAACCTTGTTTGGCGAGGCAAAAAGCTACTAAAATTTGCACCGATAGAGCACAATTTTGACATTTCACAATTGGATAGTTCCTACTTACATTTTTAACCGAACTTGTTAGTCAACTTACACATGTAGATAATTACGAGAACAGCACGTTTCATTTTAATAAAAACACTTACAAATGTATAGTACAAAAAATTGTTATTAAAATCTATAACAAATATTTTTTTCCACTTTAAAACTCAAGTACAATACATAACTAGCAAAGGACGTCTTTCTTTCATCTGATATTAATGTGCGGTTGCCCCTTTGGTGATTTGACTTTTGCTCACAAATAGCGGTCCCGTGGACCACAGTGCGTTAGTCGTTAGTCGCTGGTGTTTTGTGGTAAAGTGAGAATAACGTTCGTCGATACGGACATTGATATCACTAACCAAAGCAAAAGAGATCTGTGAGGCATATAACAACTGCAACAACAACAACCGCAATCTATGTCTTTAATAAACATTTGCAGCTTCAACAGTTGCATTATTGGCACAATTTATGTTAATCGATAGTAACTATGGAAAAAGAAAATAAATAAAAATTATGGCTTTGCGTTAACGCTTTTGCTTTTGTTTCGCTTTGTTGGTCGGTTTTTTTACTCCACTACAATTGAGGCCTGCCATGAGAGCATAAATACATACGAGTATCAGGTTTTATTAATTTTACTTTCATTTCCTTGCGGCAAATTGCGCTCGTTGATCTCACAAATAGACCATATACTCGTACAATAAGTATGGATGTGCGCATTTCTTGATGTCTGCAATATGTCATTGCTGTTGTTTCTGCCCCATGCTATCAGTCAGCTAGTCAATTTTCTTTAATTCCTAATGTTTTTTTTTGTAGGTCGTCTATTGTTGTCATTTAAATTTTCCTGCTTCGGCTCCCTCCGATCATGCATGTGACAGCAGATATCGTCGCTCCCACTCTTAATGTCTTTCGGTGTTAGAGTGTGATCTACAGTGGGGTTTGTGAAAATTTGGACTAAAACATAACTCAGTTTTCAAAGATAAATAAAAGAAAGAAGTCGAGTTTTCGTCCGCCAACCGAATTGTAGATTTATAGCAGTGAACTTCAAAAAAGAAATGATGATGGAAGGTGTCTTTCCGCACAGTCTACCCCTGGAAATCCCATTTGAATGGGTAGTTATAAAAGAACCACAAAATTTTATCAGCGCCCCTCCCACAATTCAGGCTTATGCCTCAAAATATGGTCCAATTTCAGAAATAATTTCTTACCGGTCGGCATTTTTTCGGATTTGAGAACAGCCAGTAGTCGCTGCGAGTCAAATCTGGCAAATACAATGTAAGTGGGAGCGATTTGGAGTTCATTTATTTGATCGGCTAGAAACACGGAGTTTTGCCTAGATGATACAACATTTTTCTATCCATACGCGGCAATTTCGAACTTAAAACGCTTCATTTATGATCTCTTCTCAAAAACTTACCGCCAAACAAACTGATTGTACCTTATCCCTATGGCTTCAGACCTGGTAAATCAATCATTTTAGTTGAACAGAGTATCGACACACTCGACCTCTTCGGCGATGTTAAAGCCACCTTCGGCGGCACATATTGTATCAGCCTCCACGTAGTTATGGCTGAGTTTGGTATCTTGCAAAACTTATATGGTTACGTAAACTGACTTTAAGTGACACCAAACGCTCCGTCAGGACCGGGAAGGACCTCTCCGAGCTTCCATACCAAAGCCGGTTTCAAACATGGTGACACCTTATCGTGTGACTTCTTTAATTTGTTGGTGGAGAAAATTATAAGAGCTGCAGAGCTGTATAGAGAAGGTACAATCTTCTATAAGAGTGTACAGCTGCTGGCGTATGCCGATGATATTGACATTATTGGCCTCAATATATCTGGTCAAGATAAAATATCTCCTGTCATCATTGTTGACAGTTCTCTCTTGTCGAAAAAAGACTGAACTCTTCAAGTCGCTGATGAGTGGGCGTTAGGAGTTCTCGAGAAAAAGATATATGATTCTCTACGAGTTGGGAACTGCGCATACCGCAGCCGATTAAATGATGAGCTGTATGAGATTTATGACTTTTTCGACACAGTTCAGCGAATAAAGAAACAGCGGCTACGCTGGTTAGGTCATGTGGTCCGGATATAAGAACAATCCAGCTTTGAAAGTTTTCAATGCAGTACCCGCCGGTGGAAGCAGAGGAAGAGCATATATATCCTACTTTATTCATTATTGTGAAAAGAAGAAAGTTTGGGAAATTAATGTGACGAGTCTTAAGGCCGAGACCGATGCTTATGCCATAGTTCAATGAAAGCCATCCATCGATGGCCGGTACCTCTTTGAAATTTTTGGTAAAAACTAATGAGGGAAAAGTGCTTAAAAATATTAACCACAACCTACTGTGATGTCTCAAACGTCTTATTAATATGCTGACACGAGATCAAAATATTAATACGCTCTGTATGATTTTTTTAATATCCTAACTTGCTCCTGCTTCGTCAACACGCAGTTGGGTTCTTGAAAGTTTGAGCTGAAATATACCCACATTTCTCATTATTGCTATTGTTGATAGACTCATAGTTGATGCTGTGCGATGTGGTGATTGAAATTCATGATCATGTGATTAAAGCACTCACAGAGACAATTCCGTTGTTGTACATAAAAACTTACATACATATTCAGCTGTGCATACGCATGTTTGCTTGCCCGCCTGCTCGCTTTACTCACTGACCTAGTTTGTGTAGAGAAGTGGCAATTGAATGCTTTGAATGCAATATTCACAAGCCACTGTGTGTACATACATATATACATATATATGTATATATGTCACTTTGGCTTTGCTCCTGCTGTTGATGTGCTGCCTATTGTTGTTGCCGGAGAATAAAACGACCAATTGGTATTAGCCAAAGGCATTTATTGGCTTGCTTTTGTTTGCTCTGCTCCTATGATACCGGTTCCGGTGCTCATAGCATCTCTGACTGTAAAAGATACTCACATCATCAGATTGTCATTTATGTGTATGTGTGTATGTGCTTGGTTATTTGTCGGCCTGATGTTTTGTGATAAAAGGAATCACTTAACGACGAGGCTGGGCATTTGATCGCCGGGTATACGCTAGTCTAGAGGCCAAGTTCAAGTTCATAAAACACAGAGTGGTCCAGCAATCTGTTTTAACTTTTATGTCATTTCAAATTTTACGATACGCAGGCGTTACATGTATACACGCGTGTGCTATAGTTTTTGTGCGCTTTTAATAAATTCACATAAATCGCAAGTGCTATTTTGATAATGTGTTCTTTCAAACTTTTCGGTCTCACATCATTAATACTAATTCATGCACTTTTGCTGGGTGCAAGTGAGAGCGAGAAAAATTCTGCTCAGCATGTGTCTAATAACTTTAATGCGTCCAATATGCTTATACAGAATAATGTGATACCTCATCGTGACTTAAATGCCTTTGTTACGCACACGAAGGCCACATCTAAGTCTGCTGATAACGTCGAAACCTCTTACCAACACAATAACATTGCACACACCGATGAGTACATGATACGCAGTCAACGCCGTTGCCTGGAGAAACGCAATTTAATATCCTGCCTCAAGTACAAGGCTTCGAAAATTGTGTGGATGTTGGCGACCAATAAGCTGGGCTATTTTCCCAATGAGTACAGCCGCGCTTTGGTGGAGGATGAACGTCGAATACGTGTCATTCAGTTGGGTGAACCGGCCGATATTGTGGTGTTTAATGATGCCAGGAGTTTAGTAGGTACGCCAATGAAATGGTAAAGTGATTTTAGTTGAGAGCAATGCATTGAACATATGATATGCATGCGATAGAACGATCTTTGGTTTCTAATGTTGAGGAAGAGAACAAAGTTTAATGTGTGTAATTTCGTTTATAAGACTGACCGCAAAAAAAACATTTGTCCGTACTATTTTCAAATATGTTCTTATCACCTTTAGTCATCAAAACAAAGTGAAAAAAATTTACTTTTGAAAATTAAAAATTCCTCATGAAAATCATCATCAGCTTGAATACATCGCTGAACAGAATTTGACTCGAAAACGAACTGGTCAAGCCAGTACTTAAACTCAGGCGAACGGCAGTACGCAATGTTCGCCTCTCAGTTATAGCGGTCACTTTAAGATACACACTATTTCTTTTATTCATTTTGTGTCATTCGATTCGAGAAATTTATGCTTTGAGATATTGAAAGCTCCTTCATGAAAAGCTTCAAAAAATGTTTATGAGATCCAGAAGTCCAGTCGTCAGAATTACTCTTGTATTCAAATCTTCACTTTTCGATATTTGTTGCTGGCGAGATTTTTTCAGTGATATTAAAATTCAGAAGAAAAACGCCTTCAACAGCATTATATTTTACGGATTGTATTATCCAGGAAACTCAAATCTTCTCATTTGGTATGAAAATATGACTTGCACTTTCATCCAAAATAATTTAATGTAATAATCTTTATCAAAACTGGTTAATAGAGTCGACGGTAGGGTGTACTCAAGAGTTTGGTATTATCAAATACATAAGGTAACTGGATCTCCCTAATGTGTTTCAGGCAGAACTGGCGGCTATACCTGAGACTCTCAATTGTCTTTGTTTAATGTCACTCATAGTAAAGTGTATTTATATCTTTTCGAGTAGCCAGGTCGCTGAAATCCATAACAATTTAACTTGGAAAGAGTGGATAATTGCTGCAGATTTCTAAACGGTTCTCTGTACTGAATATCTGGATATAATAATATACCGGGTAACGTAAAGAATGGGATCTCCTTCCCTTTCCTTATCAAGCCAGAATTTGGTCATGAGTCATGGCGCACTTTAGAGCTGACTACGAGAGTTAGAGTTCTAGCTTAGCTTGAAAAGGTTTCGATGCGGATAATGCGCCCAATATGGTATTAATAAAGGTCACAAAACCTTAATGCGTTATAAAGAGGGAGCAAGGATATGAAATCTTAAGACACATTCATTATGAAACAAACAATGAAAACTTGTTGTCGCCGGCAAATCACTTCGTGATGACAAAATAAATCAAAAAATCAGTGAATCATACCCACATTGCCCAACCTTAGGGTTGCAATTTTTTTTTCTAGATTTTCATATGACAGTGCGCCCAAAAAAAATACAAAACTATAACAAGGTACACATAGCCAAGTTTGTGGAAGTCGCAGTTCTTTAAGATGTGTAAGCAATATTGGTAGTTTCGTTACACATTATAATTTCGTAAAGAAACCATCAGCCGTTCGGAGACGGGACCTCCATCTGTTGGAAAAACATCAAGACGCGAAACCACAAATTGAAAGAAGAGCTCGGCCAAAAAATCACTTTAGCGGTTACAAGTCGTTAATTATATATAAATATATATATATATATATATATAACATTCCTAAAATTATTTAAAAATAGAAATCTCTTTTACTGAAATATGCGCTCTCTCTGCATGCAATTTGCTCCCTGCTTCTTTGTTCAAACCAGATAAATCAATGTGGTGGTCGCATGCACCAAATTCGAAACGAGCTCGAAAGCGCTCTTCAAATCCTTGTATACTTAGAACAATGGGAAATTATATATTTATACTCGTAGTATAAAATTTTCTCGCCTACAAATTCGTGCTCGGCAATCTATTGTCCCGAAGTATTGTTTCGGTAGTTCTATCAGCGCTAATGCAAATCGTTTAGAAGTTGAGATGCTTTCGTTGAGCTTACCAGGTTATTTTCGTTATACATATTCACTTGCAACTAATATCCACCATCTTTCCTTTCTCACACTCCAGGCGACAGTGAATTCGTGAGCATATTGAAGTTTCTTAAGCGCGCAGCCGAGACCTTCAGCCGCAATCATGCCATACAAGTAAAGGTGTCCAGTGAAACAGGTGCGCGCATTGTTGACTCCGAAGTTGGTTAGTATCGCAGTATATATGTATACCTATTTATTGTGGTAAATGCGTTTACAAAATTGAATATTGTTTAATATGTATTTTGGCAATTTATTTATGTGTAGATGGACGTGCACGCGGTGATCGCAAGCGACGTAAATGGTTGGTCATATTGCCACTAATCATTCTGTTGAAAATCGCCCACCTTAAAATGTCTGTGGTTACGTTATTGCTGGGCGTGCTTGGTCTCAATGTGCTGTTGGTGGGCGGCATGGGTTGGTTGATACATTATCTGAAATTCAAGACATTGTGTAAAATACATCCGCATTTGGTGCAATCGCATTCGCATGTCTACGACTCGGATCCGGCTGGTAGGTGGAGCGTGAGGAAAGAGAGAGCTAAATATTTTGTACATTTTGAATGGAGCACACAATCTATCATTCTATTTTTATGAACAAATGACCAATTATGTTTCATTAATTCTTTAATTATTTTACTTTTTTCTTTGCATTTTTCTTACATATAAACGGTCTACTTTGACGATGGCACACACGGACAGATTATTCCTCATTCATTGGCAGTAGCTTTCCTGGCTCCTATTATAGCGGCGCTGGTGGCGGTATTCATGAAGTTAACGGAAAAGACTGGGCCACAAGTAAGGCATATCATGGCGGCAATTACTTGGACACCATAAGTAAACGACTGAAATAGCTGAGGCAGTTATCTTGGCGTTATCTACTCAATGTGTTACGTGTGTATTATGTGCGTTACTATCGGTTTTATGCAGAGGTAATCGGAAATGTTGTGTAGGTGTGGAGTGGAAGTAAAAAAAAAATATTATCTATTTATATTTATTGATTCATAGTCAGAATTTTTAGGTTCATAAATGTAAATTCTATGTTAACACTAATATAAATATGTATACATACATAATCCTTTAGAAGTAACGTCTTGGTAAGAGTCTCCAATTTTAAAAAATTCTGTTTCAAATTTATTCATAAAAATCTTTATATATATATGCATATATAACATCTGAAATTTTTAGAGGGTAAGCATTTTGAGATAGATTTAAGTTAATTTTTTTGCTTATACTGTCTTATACTGTCTTTAAATATAAATATGTGTTTCACTCTAACTAAGTCGTATAGGGGCAAACAATTTTATTCATTAGTGTTTCAGCGCACTCGGCGCTCACGAGCTATATATGATGTGATGATGATTATCTTTATGCCTAAAACTACTCTATAAACAAACTGAAAGAATAAAATCCCATGAAATATTATCTTCGTTCTATAAGTCACAGATCATTGCATGAAGAGATTTTGGGGTTTAGGCTAATTTTCAATAAAGGTTTTATGGACCTCACTGTATGGCTCTTGGTAAATGCTGAAGTAGCTTTGACTCAAACCCAAGCTAAGCATGGATCTTGATTATATTTTTTTTTTGAGATGAAGTTCTCGCTATTATTAAATAAAGTTTCGAAAGAAGTAATCATTATTTCTTTGCTTGATTTTAGTTTTGTGTGATTATATGTTGTTTTCATGACCAGACTTCAATTCAAATATAACTGTTTTTCACTTCTAATTTTTTCCCTTATTAATAACTAATTTTTTCCACTTTAATACAACATAAAAATATTTATCTTTTTCACATATGATCGAGTATTCGTTTGTTGAATTTTATTCCAACTTTTATTAAATAAGTATATTTAAGTGTCTCAATGTAGTTGTGATTGTAATTCTTCCATCGAGTATACTACATACATTTTTGAACTTTTTGTTATATAAATTTACACTCTATCATTTTATTTTAGTATCGAATTTTTCACATTATTAAATTATTGGCATAAAAATCTGTGTATTTAGAAATTTTTTCTACTGAATTTATTTAAGTCAATACAATTTTGTTTTTATTGGGATTTAATATAAAAAAATGTTATTTATTTAAGTAGTAAATTGTTTACTATTATTACTGGCGAACAACTAAAATAAAATTTCCAAGAATAAAAAGTTCTTTCATTAGGTTATTACTTTTTAAAACATGAAAATTAAATATGATCAAAAATGATTTCGAAATTTTGCCAGCAGTTTTCTAGTTGTTAAAACATGTAGTGAAACACTGAAATACGCAGTAAAGTTTCGATGAGGAAAAAAATAGTAATTGGAATGTTTCATATCGTGTTTTCAAAAGTACAGGGCTGTATTTTGACATCTGCCAAACTTACTGTCGAAACGAATATGTTTTGTTTTAATTATAAGTCAAGCATTTATGAAAATTGAACGCTTAACAACCACACAATGTGTTAAAATTGTTAAAAATTTCTCCAAAAATTGTGATTCAAATGTGGCAACGTTTCGCGCTTTAAGAACAGATTATGGTATACATATTCGGCCAAACTACTCAAGCAATTCTCAAATTTTTAAAGAATTTTCAAGATACCGGATCGTTTACAGATGTGGTCGATTTATTAGTTCCCATTCAAATATGATTACTGTAAGTGAAAGTGTAGCTGAAGACCTGAATGTGTTTGTGTGCTTGTTCTCAGAGCTGGGACTTTCTTGTGTCGTATTTTGCACTTGGACTGACAACTAGATCCAAATAAAGTCCAACTCACCCAACAACGGAAGCCAGCTGATCATTCATAAGGCCGTACATACGTCGATTGGGCACTTAAACAACAAGCAGTGGATGGCGACTTTTCGAACACAAATTTTCTTCAGCACCGAACATTCTCAAATAAATGAAGAGAGGCTAAAGTACCAAGAAAGGGAGGGTTCTTTGGCCCTGAGGTGCAATTATACTCTTTATCTTTGAAAAATCTTTGTCAACTGGGTACGTTATGATTGTATAATAACGACATTCTCGGCCTGCAATTGAAGAACACGACTTGGACGAAATGTGGTCTATTTGTGGCTTTATTGCAAGACAAATTTCCCGTCCGCATAATCTATCGTCTTGGCGTAGTTAATTGGATACCGAGATCGTGCGATTCGACACCGTTGAAGTTATTTTTTTGTAATGCTACGCAAAAGAACTTGTTTATGCGGATAAACCATTAACTCCAACACTCGTCAAGTTGGGTTAAGATATTGCGCAATAGGTGCCAAAAAGTGGTCGAAAATTACCTCAAACGGATCGTGCAAAAATTTGCGAGATTTTCTTTTGAAGTGTAAAACATTTATTTTCGAAACAGCAATATGGATATCACTGTACATTGTGTTCTTTGAATATTGGCATTTTTACTAATCATTGCTTCACTTATTGCTCTCGGAATTTCAACATCTGCTGCCTTCCTCACATTGAAAAAATTTCGCATTTTAAGGGGTCGCCACGCTTAATTGTGCGAAAAAACGTCGGTTTACCTCGCCGACGCGTGTGGGTTACAAATTGTTGTTTACTTTAACGTCAGCACTTGTACTTCCTGCGAGTAAGAACATAGGAATCTTATTCAAATTTTATTCTTGAAAAACATAAACATTATCAATGGAAATGAGATCCTGACACATGATAAACTTTTTTAATGAAGAATAATATATCCTGTAGGCTTACGGGAAAATTCAAGTAGCCTACCATGACCATTTCTCTTACCTTCGACTGGAACTTTCTCTTCACAGTTTTACCACTCGCAATGGATAATTGACCAAGTACCTATAAATGTGGCTACATAAGGAGTGAAGCTCGTATGTGATTTTGTAAGATATGTATTTCGCCAATAGCCTGCTACTGCCCGCAGCCAAAAGCACCCATCTAACGCACTGTGCACAATCTTGCCTCATGTCTTTCAACAAGCTCTCTACTGATACGTTCTGCCACGTCATTTTGCTGAGGTGTGTGTTGCAGTATTTACAATATGTTTGGGACTGCCAAGATTTCTGTCAAATGTAGTGACAAAAATAATTACAGCTAAGCAAATATCTATAAATTCATAGCTCAGGCTTAAAAGAAAATCTAAATACATATATATTTTGTAAATTACACAGTTTCACTTTTTCGATTAAATATTAAAATAATTTTTATTGAATTTAATTGTTCACAACAGAACTGGTTTGCACTCACTTGCTTACATACTCACATACCTATATTAAATACATACATAAGAACGTACGTGAAAGCTTTAACAAAATCACATAAATTTAATAGGCACATATTAAAGCCAAGCACAAAAAAGAATGAAAGCAAAATAAAAGAAATTTCCACATTGTCATTCTCGCCCGTTCAATTGCTCAGTGAATCATAAAATGTTAGTTTGGGAAATCGCAACAGTTGGCTTTGCCATTGTGCATTTCCCCTCCTGCATCTAGAGAAAAAACAAATGACAGGATGTGTATATGTGTTGACTTAACATTATTTTCCTGGCGATGGTATTCGCGGTAAAGAGTATATACATATTTATAAATAGATATAACTGTACGTATACATTTGTATGCATGATGAGCGAGTATATATTCTCATTTGTTGTTTGTGGGACCACAGTCAACGCTGACAATTTTTTTCCCTGTTGCCGTATCTACGCTGCACTCACACATATGTATGTGAATACCTTCGCTTTCATGTGTCTTTATTGTTTTAACTGATTGCGACACATTTAAGTATAACAAAATGTTTACAAATACTTGCCTTGAGTTTACTATTCTATTTTGCATACACGGTGTTGAAATGATGAGTAAACATTTAGATTTGTCTGTTTTATTTGTATATAATTGGTGCTCCTCCTCCAAAATAGAGGGACCTAGAATTTATCCTCATCCGCCTTCGAGCGTCCGATGGATTTTTGTGAGGAGCTTTTATTTCATGCCATAAAAACATTCTTAGACTTGATAGACAGAAGTAATTTTAAATTTAAACAATCACTTGCCGGAACCGACTAGATCGAACCACTATGGCAGATCAATGATCGATTTGTTCGCATATGATGCTTTGGTCGAAAATATGTCAAAAAAAAAAAAAACAGCTAAGAGTGACAATGTGACAAATTCATGAGAGGTAGAAAGACTTCGGCATGACCGAAGACAGCGCTTCTCTTTTGCCTTGTTCTATTTAGTTTTATGTTATTTTATATCATTTTATTTTATTTAATAATATAAATTATTGTTTTTTTTTTTACTTTGTATAATATTTTATTTGACAACATTTATTTTAATTTTATTTCATTTTATTTTATTTGCAATTATTTTAGATTATTTTATTTTGTGTAAAATTATTTAATAGACAGTAAATTATTTGGTTTTATTTTATTTCATTTTAGTTTAATTTAAATTATTTTATATTATTTATTTACCTTCTATTATTTGCTTAATTTATTTAATATTTTTGTTTTTATTTTACTTTATTGTATGCTATTTAACAATCAAATTAATTATTTTAATTGTGTTCTCTTCTTCTATCTTAAATAATTTTATATCTTGTATTTATTTAATAAAATTTGTTTAATTTAAGTTTTTCAATTTAATTTTTTTTGTTTTATTTTATTTCAAATTATTTTATTTTATATTTAATTAGTTTTATTTTATTTCATTTCATTTATATAATTTTATTTGACTTTTTTTATTTTTATTGTATTTATTTTAATTTAATTTATTTTTATATACTTTTTTGGGTTTTTATGGAACTGTCCCAGACCATATATTTTTGGAAAAGTGTAATTTTTTCAACAACAGTTTTGGATGGTAGAAGTTAAAGCTGCTATTTCGGAAACCACCACATTTCCTCATCAGACTGCTTTTTCCAGACACCTTTGTTAGAATTGAACTCGAACTTTGGATGCCTACTGCACGAACCAATGGTTATCCCATTAAGCTAGATGTGCTTCGGTTTTACTTATGTTGTTTTCACTTTTTCCCTATTACCTACACATCCACGATCAATTGCTCAGATATTCTGCAGGTGTAAAACTTAGTGCGGTGTAGTTGTTTGTTTACGAAGAATTTTTCAACAAATATTTTAAGGCAACTACCTTTTT